AGGGTGAGAAGGAGGAGGAGGAGGGCGAGGAGAAAGGGAAGGGTAAGGGTACTGCTAAGGGTGCTGCTAAGGGGAAGAAGGATGTGAAGAAAGATACCAAGAAGGAAGATGGGGATAAGAAAGACCAGCAAGAGGATGAGGAGCAGAATGACGGGGAGAATGAAGACGAGGAGTTAGATGAGGATGATGAGGAGTACCAGGAAGACGAAGGGGAAGGAGAAGACGAAGACGAGGAAGAAGAAGAAGAAGAAGAAGAAGAAGGAGTGGAGCAGCAGGTGGGCGATGATGAGGAAGCGGAAGGCGATGCCCCCGACAAAAAGAAGCAAAAGACGAAGTAAATCACCATGTCATAATATTAATGTGTAAGCTACTGAATTACTACCCTATCTTATCCCCAACTCTCCATACTCCACGCTCTCATCGCTCCACGTCGCCCTCTCCGCGCCCCTCATAATGACTCTGCGGCAAATTGTTCAGCTCATCCTCTTGGCGATCCAACTTGTAGTTCGTCGCCCAGAATCCAATGCAGCCGACGAACGCCAAAATCGCAACCACCGTGTAGTTCCATACCAACAACGGGTCTTCCGACAGACTGACCAGCGCCTGTCCAATGGCCGACGAGAACGCGTTCATGAACAACGCGACGGCCTGCACGAGGGACCGCATGTTCCGCGGGGCCTTGGTGAACGCGTACTCGAGCGAGGTCACCGAAGCGAAGATCTCGGAGATACCACCCAAGACGTACGGCAACGCCTGCACCCAGACGGAGATCGGAGAGTGCGAGTTGTACTCGTCCAGACAGTAGTTGGCCTGCTTGCCGCACCTGCCCAGCTTGTAGATGTAGTGTTGCGTCACCGTCGCCGCGATCATCGACAGACCGGCCGCGAAGAAACCGGCCGTGATGCGCTTCAAGGGGGTGAACTTGATTCCAATGCGACGAAGACCCGGGTAGACAAGCTGGTCCATGATGGGGATGAAGATGATCAGAGCCAGAGGGTTCAGGTTGTTGATGATGTCGTTGGGGACGCCGCCAAGTTGCATAGTCGCTGCCTGCGAAGTGAGGTTGTTCAACATTTGGTTGTACGCAAGCCCTGAATTAATCTCGATTAGACCAAAGTCTCTGCCGTTGCGGAAGTGCACACTTACAGTAGAGTGGGTACCACAGGAACACCTTGCAGGCCTTCAATCCACGGGCTACCTCGTCCACCCATTCATCATCAAAGGTCATCCATTCCGGTCGGTTTGCACCAAGCGCACTGGGCTTAACGGAGTCCCAGAACGGCCTAGGATTCTTCTGGAAGCTGTGATGAAATTAGCATAATGCGATGAGTGTCCTCCGAATTGACGACTTACATCCGGGCCGGGTTGAGAGACCAGCGCCCTTTCATAGCCAGCTTCCAGGTGCGAAAGGCCTGGAGGTAGACTGAGCCCGTCGGCTTGACCAGATAGTACTTGTTGCGGCAGAGGAACAGAACAGTTGGGCAGAATGTGAACATAATCGTGGGCAGGAGGTAGGACAGCCAGAAGCCCACATATCTCTCCGCGTACACCATGCTGACTTGACCCAAAATCGAACCGATGTTGATCATCATGTAGAAGTAGAGGTAGATGCGGGAGACGGTGGCCGACGGGTCGACGATGACGCGTTCGCCTGACGGAAGGGTTTTGATGAAAGGGGTGTCTTCTCGATATTGCTCTGCAATCAGGGGGGAGATGTTGGATCTGTGTCTGTTAGGCAGTGTTGCCGAATGCAGCAATGGCGCGACTTACTTGAAACCGCCAGTGCCGATACCCATAACGATCAACCCGATAGAGAAGCAAGCAATAGCTCCATCAGGATTCTTGACGACAGGAGGGATAGCGGAGATGACGAGGATGGTGTGTCCCACCAATGCAGCGCCGATGGAGAACATGATGGTACGGAACCGACCCCAGTATTGATCGGCCATGAACGCACCAGCCAGCGGCATGATATACGACCAGAAAGCGTTGACTGCTAGGTCAGCTGTGTATCACGATCAGAGGGAATGCTTGGACTTACACAAAGTCAACCCTGTAGATGCCTGCTGGCCCATTCCCAGAGCACCTGGCACCAGGTTTCCGACTCCATGAGTCGCACCGGTGGTGGAGCCTTCAGGCAAGGGACGCTGAATGAAGTTCACAACTGTGAAGGTTAGCAACGTCGACAATGGGTTCGTGAGTTAACTCACACACTGCAGTGGTGCCATAGTATGAGAAACGCTCGCACAGCTCCACAAAAGCCACGGTGTAGGCTGTCCAGGGAATTTTGCCAGCCACACGACGCAGGGTCTGCATCTCCTCTGGATTGGGGAACGCCTTCTGCAGCGAGGTATCCTCATCGTAGGCGGCCCCCGATGAGCCGACCGCGACTTTCTCCGAGGTTGCTTGAATCACGTCGACGTCGGAAGAAATGTCCGGGCGCACTTCGGATGCAGGATGCTTCTGCTTCTCATCGTGAGCAGTAGCAGCAGCAGCATCATGAGCGTAGGCCGCCGATTTGGCGACCTCTGCCGCCTCCACCGGATCAGAGCTGTTCATGTTGAACGGAGGCAGGATAAAGTGATGGATGGTTGAAGGGAGTTTGAAGAAGAGATGAAGGGGAGATCCAGAGAAGGGAGTCGGAGGAAAGATGGGCAGAGGAAGAGGTTTAAATTTGGGCTGACTGGACCGGGTGGCACAACCGCGGTAGGCAGGCAGGTAGGCAGGCAGGTAGGCAGGCACTGGTCTACACCTGGCAGTGAGCAGTGGCATTTTCTCATATCAGCATCCATGATTCTACCCATCACTGCTATTGCACCATTCTCAACAGCTATCAGCATCTGCAGGGTCCAAGAGTGCCAAGACCGGCGATGCTTCCCTTCTCGGGGCCACCGCAGGAGTCAATTCCACTGCTGGCCCTCGCTTGGAATCGGCAGAACCCGTCCAGCCCACGTTTCCCAGGCTGGCGATGGCTTGGATAAGAAGCACGCCAGATAAGCACGGCTGGCTGCGACTGGTCAGGATTGCTCAGGACTGGGCTGTTCTGGTCGGTCGTCCAGCGGAACGGACGCCTTGGCACCCTTGGCGAGGGGCATTCGGTGCAACCCCAGGCCTTGGCTGGCGGGGGTCTCACCCAATCACTTGCTCTCGGAGGGTTTGACCTGGGCTAAGGTGGGTTACATTGAGCCACTCGATGCACGCGACCACAAAGTCTGGAGAGAACCGGGGGTGAAATCCATCCATCGAATCATCGAATTAGGCAGGTGTATTTGGAAATGGAATGTTCTTCGCATGAAACACCGTGAATAAACACTGTCAGCACGGTTTGCCACGCCAGGAATCCTGCTCGCATCTTTAATTTATTATCTTTCTAGATAGAGCGGTTGTACTCGGGACAAGCCTTTGCCCGCCAGTGGCGAGTTAGGTGGTGGTGGTGCCAGCCTACCGAGAGAACTCGGGCTGGGCAGGTCGGATATCGACTATCAAAAAGTCTGATAGAAAAGTCGTTGATGGCAGCATGGAACCCAGTGGTATTAAGCGAGGCGCTATTGTATGTACCGTTTGTGGAGTGCAGTGCGTAGCACCATACTACCTACTACTATACAAAAGTGGATGCTACCGCCCAATCTGAGTGGGGCAATTCCGGCGCGGTGGTTGATTATCACAGGTATCGATTCCGTAACAGGTACGTACTTTATCAGTGGCCAACTCGACCATGTCTCAAGTTCATCAATTCAAAGTTCTGGAGGATTGCCACGGTTATCGAGCTATGCTTTGCACATGACATGCCATGTTTGTAGAGCGACCTTCCCGAATAGATCCAGACTTGGAGACGCAGTCCTCGACCCCGTCGCATGTCGCGTGGGCCGGTATAGAATCACAAGCATGGGACCTGAACCTACGGACACCTTCGCTATCTGTACAGTACCCCACAGTCGACTTCCCCGCGTTTCCTGTCAGTTGTCCCATGGGAACTAAGCCTGCTGGTACTACAGGAGCAGTCTCAACGCCAGGGTTCCTTCATATCTGTTACGTACAACACTCCCATACAGACCGGAAAGCACATGTTACACAGCTTGCAATTGTTCAAGGCAACCTCAACTCGTCTCTGTATGCCCATTGACGCGGAGGGATCGAGAAAGACGAATTCAATCGGGGTGTGTCTTTCTGCTGGACTCTTTGCTAAATTCATCAGCAGATTTTAAGGCCTGCTTTCTCTTCTCCTCAAGGAATTACTGTCCTTTTGCAATTGATCTATATCCAAGCCATTATAGGAGTTCGCTCTCTGTGCTTTCTTAAACCTTGTCGCACGGCTAACCGCGGCCAGTTTTATGCACCATGGCTGACTCAGTTGCACAGCATAGTTCACTAATCCCCCCCGGTCAGCGGGAAGCTTTTACTACAGTACGTGTCAAGCGCGGGCCGCTGCTGGGTCGAATCTCATCTGCGCAGTGGAGGTGCCAAGTCGGTTGACAGCAACCGAGTGTTTGACCTCCATGTATAAATGGAGTGCTACCTAACTTACCTAGTACCTCATCCTCAATTCACTATCTCTATCTAATCGAGAACATACCCGGTTTTGAGGTACAATGCATAAGTAGGTTGTCGGTGAAGCTGCACCTACTGACTGCTTACGCCATCCCTGCTGCCTGCCAGACCGACCGGGTTGAACATGTCCAACAATGCTCTCCCGTCACTAAATAAAGCCTCCCTTCGCTGCTCCCCCAACTCTTCCTCCATGTACTCCTCCGCTTCAATTGCGCAACCAAGATCCATCAATCATGCCCTCAGCCGCTTTCGACCCGGACACAGACATCCCTAGTCTGTCTGGCAAAGTCATCCTGATCACAGGAGGTGAGCAATCCCCCTAGTCTCATCTCATCCGCGTAAGCCAGCACCCCGCCAGGAACAGCCGGACTGGGTGCCGAGACGGCGCGCCAACTTGCTAGCGGTGCTTACTACTTGGCTATCTACTCCTCCACTCATCCCCCAATCCAGAACTATCGCACGAGAGACCCATTCACATCTCCACTCCTTTGGCTCCTCTCGCAGCCTTGCCCGTTCAAAGTCTTAATGCCAATCACCACCAGCCCACGCATAAGCCCTCTACTTATCACTTAGAATCTCGATGCCACATAAGCGCAACCACGGAAGGCTTCTTCCCAACCTCAACAGCCAGACATGGCACGCACTACGAGATAACAACCCTCACCCCCTTGGTACTCTCCTTCGGCATCGGAAACCACAGATCATGATCATAGGCCACATCCCCCGCGGTAGTCTGATACAACCTCATTCGCGGAAGCACACGGAGCGCTAGAACGGGCAGCGTGACATAGAGGCTGCAATACGCTAGACTAAGGAGAATAGTCAGTCGGCTTCATCTGAAATCCAAAATCGGAAATCGCCAAACCCTGGCCCGATCTTATGTACTAAATGTCACTTGTACAAGACTTTCACAAAGCGCAAAGGAAGGGAAGGGCACTCACTTCATCCCCAAACACTGCCGACTACCCTTCGAAAACGGGATCAAGCAGGTTTCCATCCGCCGGCGCTGCGTCTCATCCGCCTCCAGCCATCGCTCGGGACGGAAGGCGTGCGAATCCTGGAACACGGATTCGTTGTGGTGGTTGATGACGGAGGACATGCCCATTGGTGTACCGGGGGGGATAACGTAGGTGAGTTCGCGGCCCTTGAAGTCGCCACGGTAGGTGAGATGCTCGTCGGGGGCGATGCGGGGCAGCCGTTGGCTGACGCCGTAGGAGAGACGGAGGCCCTCCTGGATGACAGCGTGGAGATAAGGGAGCTTTTCGAGGTCAGACCAAGGGGAAGTGAGGGCGTCGGTGGCATGGAGCTCGTCGGTGAGCTTGTCTAGGAGGGTGGGGTTGTGGAGGAGGTGGAAGGTTATTACGGTTATTGTCCACTGTTTTTCTCTTCAGTCTGCGTTGAAGTACAAGGTGAAAGAGATACGGTGCAATATTAGGGAACCGCACTTCGAGCCTAGAAACTGGGTAATACTCACAGCAGTCGTCTCCGTCCCCGCCGCAATGAACGAATAACTCTCTCCACCTAGCCTGTGATCCGTCTTCTCCACCTCCGGCAAATCCGAAGCAACCAGAGTATGAAAGATCGCCGGTCGCTCCGGGACCGCCCCGGCTTGGTACTCCAGTCGAGCTTTGTGCACCCGCCCCGGCATCTTCTCGTTCCCTTCCTCCACCAAGCCCTTCACGCGGGGATCCAACCACTTGGCCACAGATGGCATGAGATCCACGATTGCTTTCAGCACCGGGAAGAACCGAAACACATGCATCGGGGTGAGCAACGAGTGCAATGCATGGCGGAAGTTCGGTTCCCAGGATTTCTGTCGTATAAACCCAAACGGCTCGCCGAAGCAGTAGCCGGAAATGATGTCGGAGGTGAAACAGCCGTACGCGGTGACGATATCGATCGGCTCTTCACTTTTGTTACCGATATTGATGAGCTTGTCACAGAGCTGGTCTGCGAGGTCTTTGATGTCAGACTCCAATTTGGCAATCTGCGCGCGCGAGAAGAACTTATTCGCGGCGCTGCGGCGGAGGCGGTGCAGGTCGTGGTCGACAGCTGACACCATGGCTTCGGTGATGGGCCCGGCGAAGAGGTTCAAAAGATGGACTTGTTTGTTGCGTCTGCGTTTGCCGGTCGAGTAGATCTCGTCGGTGAAGGCGATGTCGTTGACGTGGAGCTCTTCGGGGTTGATGCGGACGACGGGACCTGTTGCCGCGGTTTCAGCGACAGATTTCCTATGTCTGTCTGTGCCATCATGTATGGACGAAGGATGGGATTTTACCATAGATCTCGTGCATGCGTTGAATCTCCAGACTGTAGCGTCCGCCGAGTATCAGGTCAAACCAGGCTTCGTATAGAAACGTGATGGCTGCGAGCTTGGGGCCTGGGATGTGGTACAAGGGGTGCAAAGGCGAGATATTGTAGACTGCCCGGACAATGCGAGAGAGCAGCCAGAGACAGGCCAAGTACTGAAGGAGAATGATGTGCATGCTGACCGATCATGCGATACGAATGTTGCTGAGCTCTGTGAGTATCCCTTGTAAATTGTGATATGGTGGATCCATATTTATCAGATGGGGAGTTCCACTCGACGGTCTGAATTATATCCGAGGTGATCGACAGAATTTCAAGCACAGCATCTATGATGCTTTGATAGGACATTAAATTCAGTCATTGATTTCATGACTCTCGTTCCACACCACCTATAGTCTTCTTTGAACTGACTCAAGACTATGTTCTTTCGTCTAAGTTTGCTCGACTTAGTGTGCTCTATGATCCCCCCGGGTAACTCTCGGGGAGAATCAGCTTCCGGGAAGGGTGAAATGCTTCAGCGATCGAGATTAGACAGGTTTTGATGATATGTCTCGATCCAATGATCTATGATTCGTCAGATCTGACGTGTAGAAGCGGTGGTGCGATAATATGCTTAGCTGAATGAAGTATCTAAGAGTGATCATGAAGGGGAAGGGAAGACACGACGAGTCACGTGGCAGCCTGCCCAAGGGCCTGCCACA